AAGAAATTCTTATTCTCATAATTAATATCTTGGGATGCAAATATTTCAATATCCTAAAATTTAAAAACAATTCCTTACCATCGAAAATTCGACCATCAATAAAGAAGATGTCCACCGTATGCTCGACAACAAGGTGGGCGCATGGGCGATGACTAGCATGTGAATTGTTTTACGGTGGTAGTAGACTTGCGAGGCATCTACCGCACTCACACGTCCCCCACCCGCCTGAGTACGGTGTCATGACAGAATCAATAAGGTCCCACACGGGATCTGGGGCAATGGTTGAGGCGTGTGCCGCACACGCCTGTTCCACCCACGATGGATCAGGTTTTCACAGAAACAAGGAGGTGGCTCGTATCCCACCTGAGTGGTAGTGCCATTGCAGAATAACTCTCAGTCCTGAGAGGAGGACCGAGTAATTCCTTCAGCTGGCGACCTTCCAAGCCTTCCCGAAGATAATGATTCTATCTCCACCAAGAACTACGAGGCCACCCATATGAGCTGCAGCTGGTGTGTGTGGCTTTGGTTGAAAGCCCTGGTTTTCGTTGATCGCTGGCTCTTTGAACCAGGGTGACACGGAACATTAGGTGAATATTTTTAACTTGATATGCCAGGTAATTAATGTCACGTAAGGCTGGGTTTTTAATTCTGTCCGTTTCCGTTTTGTGGACCTTATAAATTATTCAAATGAAATATTTGACAAATATTCTCATTTTTGCTGTAAGAATAGTCATTTTCTTAAAGTGTTAAATTCATCGGTAACGAGAGGCGGAATAGAATTTAAAATGTCTATGAGAAAAAGGATTTCTCAAGTAGTCATCTCTCATTATTTGTGCCGACAATGCTTTCACTAAATTTTCTTACAAGCTTTCATTTACTTAAAACCCCCCCTCTCGATGTTGAATGAGTTTTGTCTTCGTAAGTTGCACAGCCTCTTGCTGAATTCTTGGCTGATCAAGTTCTTATGAGAGTGTCTAATAAAATTCATTATATGGCACAATAAGTAACATAGTGCGTAAATTTATCTATAACTGGCCTAGTTTCGCTTTCCTTAGCATGCTCAAGGATAGTACACGTGTCTGAGTGGTGGAATTTCGCATTTTATTCCAGTTGGCCATGGCCCAAAAACTAGTCTGTTGTCGTTTAGAGGACCAGGGCATATCCAACTAACGTTGAGTGTAATCTGTGCTGTCGAGTCACATATGTTTCCTCCTCGCAGGAATATTAATATCAATCTCCTTTTTATTGTCTCTCACTTTATAGCAATGTGGTGGAAATAACATGGACCCTATAACCATTTACCATTTACACCAAGGCACTGCTGTCAGTCCTATGCAGGAGGATTCCCATTAAACCTGCTATTCCGAAAATTATTACAATCGCCGCAGAATTTCACAAAAATTCATGTATTTCAGAAGTAGAGATTTATGCGTTTGGCAAAGCATGTGACCTGGACAGTTCTATGCACGTCGATATGATTGAATTCAGGGAATGGAGTAGGGGTAATGAAACAGTTGGACGCTGGTAGATCCTGCGCTTTGAAACCGACTATCCTTAAGTCGTAGAATGTACTGCAGTCTGTTCCTAGTCAGTAGCAGGATCTTCTTCTGTAAACTGTGCTGCATTAAATCCAAATTCTGAAGAAGAACGTCGCGATTGCCCCCTTCATTTGCCCATACCCCTAACATGCGTAAGCAGACCGTTCCCCGAATCCTTTGGTAGTTCACCTATGTCGCGTTCTGTTGACCGAAAAGTTGCGCCTCTGGCAGTTTGCATTCAAGTCTCCGTGCTTGAAAAGGCCTTAGCCTTCTCGTATGCTGTCGTCGCACTGCCGAACCCATCGCAAACAATGTCTCATTCTTCCCCATAAACGTATAAGTGAGGTGATTAAATGCAAGTTTCGAATCCTGAAAGTTTGGTTCAAATTCCAGGAAAGAACAGACTTTGGTATAAATGTTATCCCATTTTTTACGGATTACGCAGGTTATTACTCAGTGGTGCTTGAATTCTGGTAAAGATTGGGTACTGTTTATTAAGACTTTTCTTTTACCAGGCGGTCAAAAGATTCCAGGGTTCATTTCATGTTACACTCAATTCTCTCTTTTTGTAGGTGCAGTATTTGTGCGCCATTAAGGTGGAAGGAGTTCGACATGACAGACCACCAAGTGATAGACTTCTCTGCCTGCCGACTGCTTTCTGAATCGTGTTCGGACCCAGCTGACACCCTGCCGACGGACTGTCGCATGCAGACTAAGTCTAGCTGCGACAGTGCCGACTCCGGCTGCGATTTCGACACGGAGTTGCCAACTGCAGCCCTAGAAATTTGGAAGAACAACAGTTATGTAGGTCCAAGGGGCGGAATAGGCAGAACGACCTCTGCTTCCTCTCCTCCGAGCGCAGGCCAGTCAACCTACAACTTTTCTTCGTGCTCATCTGAAGAAAGACTTTTTCAAAATACCAATGTCACCGGCGCATTTGACACTTACAATCTCCTTGAAACCTCATCCGTCTCGTCTAAAGCCCCCCTACGCGGTGCTCTTTCTAGTGTGACTGCAAGCGAGACGCCCTCAAGAGAAAGCCCACCTCTTCATGAATCTAATCTTTTTCCACAAATTGAACATCAACAATCCTCCCGGCAGGCCAACTCTGATGAAACATTATGTGGAGCAAAGTTCACAAACTCCCTACAGGATATGTATGACGGTGAAAGGAACTTCATTCCGGCTGGAGCAGTCCATTTTCCCCGGCCTCGGGAGACTAGGTTTGACCAGGAGTCCGTTGCAGTGGCATCGGCAAGACGATCCGCTGCAAAGACACAAAAGCGTGGAACCAAACAGGTAACAGGAAAACTGATGAAGGTCGCTCGTGCTTCGTCTAAGGAAAGCGATTCACCAGCTGTCATGAAGTCGACTGCTGCTGCTGATGTCCAGTCACCTGGGGCCTCCTATAAATACCTCTCATGGCGAGAAAAAGATAGACGACGGCGTTTTCGAGAGGAGTGGAAGAACCTCTGGCTAGTTGTTCCGTACGGTTCATATGAAGTGAGTCATTCGACATCCCATAATCTTTTTTCTGATGACATTCTGCATAAATAACTTAGACTACATGCGACACTTTGAGTTAATTTATAAAACCAAACTGTATAAACGTAAGTAGCTGCAGTACTGCTTCCAAGTCATTCGAGCTGGTGAGTAGAAGGCTATCAATATAGTTAATGGGATAAGCTATTCTACAAGCCGGAGTGTATACAGCTTGCAGTGGGAGTAGTGTTCGTTGAACAAGCCTAAGTATAAAGCGGACTAAGAACATTGTGACCATCTGCGGGGTCTCCAGGGCTAAAGCACAAGAAAAAAGGCATAAAAAATCCAAAAATCAGGTCAGACTGATGGACGCTACTCACGTGTAACAGGGAGATAATATAAAAACAATTCATGAAACGCATACAGCTGCAATAGTTTGTTCCAAGTCATTCCAGCTGGCATGTATAAATCTAGGTAAGGATTATGTATATGACCCCGAACAAAAACCCGATAACAGAAACGTCTAGTCGAAGTTATAAAGTGGACCCCACGCATAGTTCCAAGAAGTTTAAATATTTCTGTGTGCTATCCCTTACTCTTAACCCTAATCATATCCCAATACCACAGATACCCCTAAGCGCAACCTTAATCCTAAACGTAACCCCAACTTTCCTTAACGCTAGCCTAAACCATAACCTTGAACATAATCGTAAACTTAAATTTAACCCGGTTTAACTTGAAATTTGCGGGCGGTTCCTATTTTCATGTTCAGGTTGGAGACTATATAGGTCATCCTTATCGAAATATATCAGTATGGTACATAGGTAAAACCCAAAATTAACGGGCTTCCTTCTGATAGGTGTTCGCTTATTAAAGGATAACAAAAACTTATATGTTCTACGCTTCGGAATGAGTCATATAATATCGCCACCTCAGAGGATGTCTCTGTCCATATGAGCCTAAAATGTTCCCTTTCCTTTGTCTAAAACGTATTTTTATTGGGTTTTATTCCATCTGGTCGAGTTGCTTATAAGCGTACCCACTCACAGGAAACGCGGAAAGAAACCTCTTACTCCGTAGTTTAAGTTGTCTGGTGCTGAATTTCAGGAAGTGTAGATACTAGTGATATTAAAAAAACTACTTTCAATAAATAACAGGAATTTGAAAAACAAAAACCTAATAAAACAACGTTGTGCCTGCCGTGAGGTGAATGTATCGGTTAAAAAACAGAGGGTTACTTCTCATAGCTATGAAATACTAAACCAGCCCAAACTAGGCTACGTATTTTAAACTCCGAGGGCCTACTTGACCTATTCTTACCGTACTATGCCTAAGTCTATCACCAATTTAAAGACAAACCTGAATTGTAACTTTACGCTTAATCTCACCTCTAAATTTTAACTCAACAAAAATTTCCTTGGAATTTAGAGCGAATCCATGTGTATTACACGCGATTCCTGTTTTTATGTCCTGTTGGGGGCCACATAAGCAGGCCCTATTAAAACGACGTTCCTTTTTCTTAAATTCACTTACAATGAGCGATTTAATAGCGCTTTGCGTTACGCGGTCAAATTCTTCGATGTATGATAGGACTGTTCAAAGTGATGTTCTAACCTCGTCACATTGGCTGACGAAACATGTATACAATTACAGCTACCCACCTATTGCGCTGTACACAACCTGCTCCACATACGACTTTCCATTAGGAGTTTAAATGTTGGAGAGGGCAAAGGTCAAAAGCAGCCTGCCGATGATTGTGCGAATTCACCTTAAATGTACAGCTGTTTTGGTGACGGAAAGCCTGACTTGAGAAACTTACATTCCCATCCATGCTGAGGACACGTTGCTAGAAGGCGGGAGTGGTGTCTGAACCTGAACGAACAGATATCTCGTTTCGAGCGTTGTAACCGTGAAAACTTAGGTGGGGTTTCTGGCCTACATTTCCTACGTGCATCGTGGGCTCTCGAAGTGGGCCAAACCATAGCTGTTGCTGCTGCAAGGACAGACACATCGGCGCGCCGTTCTGTCTGCCGGCCCCGTCAAGGATGTGAGCAGTTGTCACACCGTAGTAGGCGTAAGGGTTGTAAGCCTTTACCGTAAGCGCCCCCTCCCCCCAGTCGGTACGATATTCGTTTCGCACGCACACAACCTCCGTGCGTCTCCTGTGGTTTCACCCCCCCCTCCTCCACCCCCTCCCTCAGCAAATCGCTCGCTCTAATCATGCTCAGCGAGTTTCTGAAGATCCCCCCACTATGCACGCAAGTATGACTACGCCCGACACAAAAAGAGATTTGCTGAACAGATGTTGGACAGACTGTAAAATATGGCACTTCGCGTGGAACCTCACCAACAACGGGTGTTTGCGTTCAGTTCCCTGAGGGAGGGGGGGGGAAGGGGAGGGGCACATCCTCGGGTGACTATTGAGGGGGTAGCGTTATGAGGGGTCGACTGGGGGGCACACAGATGTTGCGAGCTTTTTAAAAGAAGGAAGGACACTCACAAAGAAGTGTGAATTATTTAAAAACAAGGTGACGAAGCTAATTGCCCATATTTGTTGGTTATAGTCGTCAAGTTAGCGGACCCCGAGTGTGCTAGAAAGAACCGCGAAATAATCGGTAGTTAGAATTTTCTCGAAGTGCAACAGAAAATTCAAAACAGACAATTGACAAAGAAACTAACCATGTAACCATGGAGTTAGCCTGATGGTAGACGATAATGCGGCTTGCTCTGAATTTCGGTCCGAGCCCTCGCTCAGTTGATACAGACTTAAGATCAGCGACAAACTGGGTCCACATACAAATCGCTGGTTTTATCCAGGCTGTGTTTGGGCTATAGCTGGTTGAGAGCAGCAAGAATGTCATAAATGGCTGCTAAAACCTGTCTTGTTGCTATTGGTAACAGTTTTTGGTTATGTAAACTCAAAAATTAAAACTCGTTAATTCGAAATTCTTATTTCGTGGATTCATTACCAGAATTAAGACGTTTTTGTAGTTATTGTCTAGAAAAGCGGGTTTCTTGCGCTTAAAAGCCCAATTTTATATGGAATGGGGCCAGACTAGGCATATGTAGACCTTGTCTGGGATTGAAGTGAAATCAAAGACTAAAGATGTCATGTTGCTGCAATAAACTAACCACAAAAGCTTCCTTGTGCAAGTGAATACACGCACCGCACGCTCTCAATTTCAGGAAGGATAGTGGGTTGGAAGGTGTACAGGAAAGGCGCCGTGGTGAATTTAACGAAATAAAACAGAAATCACCTCAGCGTAGGTCAATTCCCCATGAACGATCAAGTTGCAGCTAATAAATACCTGACAGAAACATAAACATGAGCTGTGTGTCCAGTCTTTCATAAAAAATAGGGGCCAGCATGACTCTAAAGAGTGCTGATGAGGTAAATTAGAAGTACGCAAGCAAGTGCGTGGTTGACCGCGGCACAGA